TAAAAACTGATGATGGTGGAAAAATACACCGAAACGTATTTTGATTGATAAATAGAGACAATAAATGACTGAAGCCCAGGAATTGATTTTGATTTCTAATTAATGTACCTTTCTGTTAGCTCTAGGGCATAAAACTCCTAATGTGAACATTCCCAATAATGGCCCATGCGCCACACTGCCTAAGGATATGGAAAGGGCTAGCAATCCTCCTAGAGACGAAGCAGGTGACAAAACGTTTTTTTTTTTTGGAAAATTACGGCTCACCCAATTGTTGAACAACAAAAATCATGGCAGTGCATAAAACCCCAGCTATTACAACGATCAGTTTCAGAACGTGTCCGGCTGTTTTGTGATTGTGATGCTTTTCCAACCAGCTTTTCAAAAAGTCCTCGTAAATGGTACCCGCCAAAGAGTTCAGATTCGCAGACAGCGTGCTGAAATGCAAACGACAAACAAGTTCAAGGCGCGTATTATCTGGAAAATGTCGCCTGCTACCTTAAAGCTGCACTAAAAATTCCCGCAATAAAAAGCCCACTTAGTCCAGGAATATGGCCGGCTACGTCCAGTACATAGAATGGCAACAGTTGGTCTTTTTTTGCCACTTGTTTAGTCAACATTGGGTCACATTGGGCGTACTTGGCGAACATAATCAAGCCAGTGAATACACTTAAGGACTTAGTAAGTGACATCCCGATGCTGTAGAGGAACACTGACTTCACTGAGTCCCTGGAAAGTTCAAATGTGCCCGTTTGTCCATGCGAAAGAAGCGGATTCTTTATTACTTGTATGTGGGGACGGAAAGGAACTTTTGAGTGCAACCTTGGTTGATGGAAATGTGCGACACCCAATGTACGGTGAGACCAACAATTATGGCCCAAAAAGTTTCGCGCTTAGTTAGGCTGGCGTCGAAGCTGCAATACATTCGAGCAATAAATTGAATGAGCAAATGTGGCAAACATACTCAAACACATCGAGGCGATTTCCTTCGTTTGCGATTCGGATCACTTCTCCGAAGCCACCTACAGAGTTCAGTCCTAAAAAGAAAACCAGTACAGAAGCCCCAATGGTGATGGAAAACTGAATGGCGTCGGTCCACACCACGGCTTTGAGGCCGCCAATTGTTGTGTAAAAGACACAAATTGTGGAAATTATGATTGAAATTTTTATCACACTGACCCCAGTCACTGTAAGTAAAAGCAGTCAGGAGGATGTGATGATATTGGTCGGTTCTGCTCACCGGCAGAAAAGGCCAAAGCGGGCACGTAGATCACCATGGGCAAATAGACGAATACCGATAGGGCGAATAAGGCAGATGCACATTTTCGGCACCGTTCATCAAACCTCATGCCCAAGTATTCGTAGGTGCTGGTGATGCCCAAGTTGTAGAAGACCGGCAGATAAATGTAGACAGTGACGATGCCAACTGCGATCATGGAAAACACTCCTAGCAAGTAAGTGGCGCCAAACATGTATACATCAGCTGGAACTGCCATCAAAGTGATACCCGATGTATGACTGAAGTGAACATGGAAACTTTATGAAACTTAAAAAACTATGAAGGCTTTCACGGCCGGTCAGATTACATTTAGAAATGTTTTCCGGGCTTTGAAGCCGT